GACCCAAGCTTCCAACGGGAATTTACTGACCACTTCTTCCCATCATTCTTTCCTAAACCACTACAGCGACTGTAGAGCCATACCATATGTGCATACATTGTATCATACATACTTGCCATTTTTTAAATAAATAATATTATCCCTATAATATGTCGTATAGGTCCCATTGGAACAACCAAATGGACCCCTTCTGAGACCTTCCATAACAAGGTCAAAGAATCAGAAATTCCACTCTCTGCTAAATTGAACGTTAAGCAGTTCAAAGGCAACACAGCACTTGAAGTCTGTGCACAAGAAATACAATCTACTAATGGCACTACAGTTAAGAAGGGTCAGTCTCTAGCTCGGACTCTGTTTAATAACATAAAGTCCAAGCCCGAAGTCTTTCAAACCCTATTTTTAAAAGAGTTAATGAAAGATAATCCTGAAGCATATACACATATAATGCGACTATTAAATATGTCAGGTGTATCAAACACACACGAGCGCAGTTATGACACTCATGCAAAAGAATGACATGAGTCTGGAAACACTACAGACTTAGAGACCACGCAAGTGGATTCTCAACACCCTACCTTTAATCTGAAAACATTCTTGCTTGGCTGACGCAAAACCATAAGCTGAAGCACCAGAACGTAGTAGACGCACTTAAAGATGCTAAGCAAAATGGGATCGCGCACCCTAAGCTGGCAACTTTAGTTGACAGAGTATATCAGTCATGTACAGACTGTGATCTCAACCAGATTAAGCGCTATGGGTTTGCAGCGCTTAAGAGTGTGACTGAAGATGTTCCATGGCGCAAGGTCATCATTGATCTGGTTGACCTACATACGTCCGAGCACACAGGCGACCGTTACGTATGCCACTTCTTTGATGTGGTGTCACGGTTTAATTTGCTCTATCCTTTAAAGAATAAGAATACGCAGACCGTGGCAGAATTATGTTGCCAAGTTTTTGCTGACCACGGGCGGCCAGGTATAATGTGCACTGATAACGGTAGCGAGTTCTGCGATGACGTAATGGAATCGTTAGTACTCGTATCAGGCATGTGCCATAAAAGCGGTGTACCATACAAACCGCAAACACAAGGCGCGAATGAAACGCGCCATAGAATACTTAAGTTCTTCTTACGTACTACATTAACGAATGATGCAGATGATCGGCCGTACCACCTTAAGTGGGTACATACACAGATAAACGAGTGTGCTAATCCGGTTACAGGTACAACACTTGCTCACTATTTTCATGGCAGATATAGTGAGTTACAAATAACTTTCAACAAGGACGAACCTAATCATCATGAGTTACCATGGTTAAAAAAGATAGAACGTATTTATACCGATGTATATCTTTGCTTGCGAGAAAAACGCAATATTGCCTTATTAAAAAGTAAAAATAGATGAAAGGCTACCAAAAAGATAGCAGAGTATCAAGTTGGAGACAGAGTTAACATCCGTCAACATAATTCCGATGCTACTGTATTAACATCTAAATGGATAGGATCATATATAATCTCTGTAGCTGACGTTAAAAGTGGAACCTATGAGGTTAATATCTCCGACGGTTCCAGTGCCTTAAATATAGGCAATAGTCGGATTCCGACTGCTGAGATCATTCTCGCAAGAAGACATGACTCTAATGTCCTCTTGATTGTTATGAGTTTAAAGACAATATATGAAGAACGAATAAGGGAGGTTACACATACTATCGTACACGATTTATAGACGGTACAATCGCTGAGTTGACATCAGATGCCTTCGATAATCAAGGCCATTTAAAAGCCTTATTAATCGAAAATGGCGGAAACGACTGCATAAGTCACAAGCTGAAAAAGATAGCATGTTTTCATCGTCTGAAGGCACGGAAGTTATAACTTACCCGCCTACAGCACTTATCCCGAGCTTTAATGCTCACCTTTCATATGTGCTTAAGACACTGAAGCGTAAGAAACGTCCAGTCGACCACCACGGACCTACTGGACCTAAGCCTAAAGCTCACAGGGTAACCGAGAACGCTCAACTTCTCCGCCTGAAAAACATTAACTTTACGTTATGCTACTTAATGTTTTCGACCTGTTTTTCCTTTTTTCGGGTTTTGACCCATAGTCAGCTTGAGCGAGCAACTTGCTTCTCCTGGGTTTCAAAGCTCGGTGGGGGCTGTGTAATAGCCAGGCCTCCACATTCGACTCTATGTTATAAACGTACACTTAAGCAGTACGTAAACTATGAACGTACTCTTAATAGTATGAGGAATTTAAGTTTCCTAAGTGGTTTTTAACGGTTTTATTATTTAATACCTTTTCCATTGGACAAGGCCATTAAAAGGCCCCAGTAAAATACCAAATATAAGATTTGGTTTAGTTCTATTAATAGAACTATTTTTACTTTCCAAATCTATTTATATCTGAATATTTCGGGGTTTCTAAGGACTATTAGCGTTGCTTAGTTTATCCTCCGTTCAGCCAACCAGATGTGCCAGTCTGATGAAGGATAAGTCGGTAATTCTTGATAAGTGGCAAGTTATTGGTTAATGCAATAATTATGGACATCAAGAGTATTTATTCTTTTTTTAATTCTTTTTTTCTTCTAAAGATAGGATTTGATGAGTCTCTTGGATTCGCCCCAACGAAACATACCATAGTTTCTAATAGAGCAACAACGAAACACTAAATAAAATCCCTTCGGCGAAAACAGTACTGAGAGGATTATATATAGGCCATGTCTCAGCCTCACAATCCCTCAGAGTATTGCTGTTTTCACGAGGCATACCTAACTTTACTAAAAGTCTCATTTCGTTTATTTAATTCGAATCTCACGATAATTAGATTTAAACCTACGCGTTTAATTACTCTAAGGCGTTAATATCTCCTTGATAGACCGAATCTTACAGTCTGGCAACCATTCCGTTGCGCGCTACCCATTTAACACTATCTATCACATACGTTCCATGCTTTCGAGTATCTACACACAATTCTCATATTTCCTTGTCACGGTTTCCTGCAGTGTCTTCGTATTCTGAGTTGCCTTTTTACTCGGCTCAATATACGCATGCACAACTCTATGTACAACACTACCGGCTGCAGTCAAAGCACTCAAAGCTGCATTTTGATTAATCGCAGCATCAGCGTCCAAAGAATACAAATCGCAGAAATCCTCGTATTCCTTATCGCTGATCTTAAACCTCTCCTCGTCTATCAACGTACATGTATGGATATATTGGCTCTAACTTCTGCCATCAAGAATGCTTTAATCTGCAGTGTTCAATCAAAGTTTTCATCATTCACCATACGGTGCTGTGCAGCAGATAATATACCCAAGCGGCTTCTCTCCTTGTGCACCAGATCCTTATTGCCTTTCGAATGTCATTCCTGGATCGTCATATTTGCTGACACGAACAGTTTACGGATGAATATTTAAGACTTCGGACACCCAAGTGGTTTATGCATTGACCACCATTCGCATGGCCCAAGCAATTCATTCTTGTATGCATTTTTTACGTTTAGAAAAAAATACCTAATTTGTTGAAAAAGGCCGTCGTTTCATCGCTTATGTCATCCTTGTAATCCTCCTTGGTGTCTTTGATCATAGCTGCTTGCGTTATTCATCGGGGACAGGTGTGTTGGAATCGATACCTAAATTCTTGCGCACCTCGTACTCTTGCTCGGATATCCACATACCAAGTATTACTTCTTGCATAACTCAAGATAGCCATGCCTCTCCCAGCATCGCTCGCCAATGAACTTCGGATCCATGGGTGTTGTGGCCTGCAAAATTGATACATTCTTGATGAATTTCCAATGGTCACGTTGATTATCCATCAGTGATGCCGAAACATCATCAGCAATCGAACTAAGAACCGGATCAGAGTCACCTTTCTCGGTCAGCCTCTTTAGCTGTTTTTCTACCTGAAGAATTTATGGAATATAGCGTGACGCGACTGACTGTTTGCTATCAGCGTTTCTCAGCAATTGACATAACCCGCAAAGAGAACGGGATACAGCCAATCCTGTTTTACAGAATGATTGATCCATGATTATTTCTTCCGCCTCTTGGCTTCTCTTCGTCACCTGAACCGGATTCCCATCATCATTGATGTTCGCGGGATTACCAACCATCTTCTCGGTGTAAAGAGTGCTGTTGATGATCTTCACCAAACACGGTTTAATTCGAATAAGCCTCACACGTGAACATATAGTATATGCGAACCACAGAGGTGGGTACGATATTTAGTAGGTCAGAAAGCGAATACGTGGCACACTCGACGGTGTCAGTTTTTTTGTCAGCACCGGCCTGAATTGACCCAGTGCATATCCTCCATTGTCGACTCACTTGGTCCAAGATTCAACAGGGAATTTACTGACCACTTCTTCCCATCGATCTTCCCCGAACCACTACAACGGCTATGAGAGCCATACCATATGTACAAACATTGTAACTGAACTCCTTTGAAATAAATAATATTATCCCTATGTGCAGTAATGAATGTACACATAAGTTTGCAGGTGTTTTTACTAACTTTGAAATCTGACGTCTTTTTGACTTTGTCTATGACGCTAACATTAAAATCTGGACCGACTGAAAAACGAAACCGCTCATATTTTGGCAGAATCTGGTTGGCGGGCTATTCCTAATATAAGGGCGGGCAACGAAACCAGACCCCTATAACGCATAAAAACGTATTACGATTTACGTTAACGCATCGATTTGAAAGCGTGTTTACGTTTTACGAATAGAAGTCTGGGCCTGGACCTGCTCTAAAGGCAGGTTTGGACGGGTCCTGCACCTGCAGTCCTACAGACCTGCACACAACAAGCAAGAGAGAGCCTGAGTCCCTGAGTTCTGAGAGGTTGTACATAAATAGTGTACATATGGATGTATAGAAGAAATAAAATAATATTATTGTCCGAAGGACAATTTACAATAAAGCTGCAGCCTAAGCTCAATGCGTTAAAAGTTGCAACTTTTATTATGCCTCGAACACTGCAACTTTTATATCGCGATAGTAAACTTTCATATATGAGGTGCATTTTACAGGTCACTCAGGTGACAGTCGTCACAACTGAAACGCTCAATCTCCTTTGTTTGCCTATTATCAATATCGTAGCCTAAAATTTTCAACGATAGGACAGCTTATTGAGAACAGTTTCAATTTTATATATAGTTGATTTGTCCTAAATAAAAGTTATAACTTTTAAAAATCAAAAAGTTAACATTAAAGTTGGAACTTATATTCCGTACCCCTATTGAGCTTAGGCTGAAGCCTGAAGGGCTGGAGTGGGCCGAAGCTGCTGCTGAACAGATAAATATTTACTGAACAGAATTTGAGTCTCTTGAGGCTATTTATGTAGTAGAGAACATACTTTTTTTCTTCAATAAAGTATTGACATTTTAGTTCATCTTTTTTATTATAAAAATATATACATCATACTATGTATTTAGTATGTACTGTATACACTGGTCTCTCTCCCCCTCCCAAGAGAGTAGAGTAGAAATAGTAAATATTTTTCTAAAAATACGGGAGTTAGTGAAAGAGCTAAATACAAAAATTCAGCAGACGGTGTGATGTGTTTATCGTGTTGTAAATACAATACATGTACAGTAGTAGCCTATAATTTTATAAAATAATAAAAAACCGAAGTATTTATTTATAAAAACTAAATTCCCTATTTGTATAGTATATATTTGCGGCTTCATTTAAAAAGAAAAAAGAAGTATAATTTTTTTTTTGATAATTGATACAAAACTGAATTCATACATGTAATCATTAAAATCCAAAGATGTAACAGTTGTACTTTCAGAGTTGTTGCGATAGACCCTGCCGAAAGGCAGCATTGGTAATTGGCCGATGATGACATTTTTACTCTAGAAATTGAAACTGGCCCGTATAAACCAATACCTGTGATACGATTCGAATAATGAGTACTCTTTACTCAATATCGAAAAGAACGACATATTAGCCCAGAATGTCAAATTTCATCACGGTATATGTCCAAATTTAATTAGAAATGTGAGAAAATCACGGTTGGGAATTTCGTCGGTGTGACGGTGTCTGTTAGACTGTCAGTCGTTAGACCGTGGCTCAAGTATTACTTTTTCTAGTTTCGAAGTGGTCGGACAAGCAGTAATGAGTAATCGACTCATAGTGTCGACTGACGAGAATTTCTCACTACTCATTATTTACTGGTAGCTTTTTTAAATACCTCACACAATCTGTTCTTCTTGTTGTATTGTGCAGTATGTGCAGTTGTGCACTCTCTAATCGCTATACTTCGCCCCCTACTGCTGGGCCGCTGGGGTGCTGGTACGTTGGGCTGACAGACTAACACTGACAGCCTCACGCCTCACTCCCCACGACCCCACTGGGCCCACCTCTCTCTCTCACACAACAGTGACAACTGACATCACACAGACACCAGCAGACACCACAAAACAAGAGAAGAGAGACGAGAGAGAGCAGAGAGAAGTCTCTCTCAGTCTCTCTCCTGCGTGTGTGAATAATGTGTTTAAAAAATATGTAATAGCTAATATTTACACAGATACGCACTGCTGTGAGCCTGTGACTTGTGAGTTTGACCTGTGTTTTTTTATATATGAGTATAGCGTATGCCTCAAGTCTTTGTGTCTGACGTCTGTGACTCTGTATTACTGTAGTCAATTTATTGATTATTCGACTTTTTGGTTTGAGTGGTTGGTACTTTGAAAGAAATATATTAGGCACTTTGAGTCTCTTACAAATGCGTATTTTGGGATACATATTTCAGTTTGTTTTTTTATTAAAAAATATATAGTAAGGTCTTTTTATTTTGAATAATTATAACAACAACAAATGTAAATTAGTACATATTGAACTTGTTTGTTTTTAAAAATAGAGAAAAACAAATATGTACAAACGTAACAGTTAAAAATAGTATAAATAAATTGTAGTTTGACTGCATTGATTTAAAAAAAAAAAAGACTAAGAACAATAAAAATAAAATTGCATATTACAATTGACTCCTCCGAGATTAATTAAATATCGATTCAGTGACAGTCTCCAGACTCTATGTTTTCTCCGGCTCTCCGCCGTCCCCCTCCCAGTCCCAGAGTCCAGTCTGTCAGAGTGTCAGACATCGAGAGAGGGTGACAGCCTGAGTGCCTGACAGGGGGGGGGGGGGGGGGGAAATACGTCTTCATCACAGGGAAAAAAGGGAATAATTGTTTTTATAGTTATTCTAAATATAGG